TCCCCTTAATGCAGATTTGTTCACTGGTATGAACGTTAGAGCTCGGCGACAGTCTCTGTCCACTCAAGTTTTTGGTACCGGGAATCTAAGCGAAATTTAGTACGTTCTATTTACCAAGGCTTCAAGTCTCGGCTTGAAAAATATTCAGGTAGTGTGAACAGCGGTTTTACAGTAGTGTCTTATGAGAAAACACCACCGTCAAGATTCTACGTTAAGCGGTAAATGGAACTCCAACACTCTTTCTTGGCTGTCAAGTAGATTTGAACTATACCATTTTCTCATCGGGAACCATATCTCCCTCAAAATTTGATAAGGTTGTGTAAACTGACGTTGAGCAACATCAAAAGCTCAGTCAGATTCGGCACCTCTCCGAGCCATTTGAAACCGGACGAGGTCTCAGACCTGGTGACCCCATACCATATGACTTTTTCAATTAACTGCTGAAGAAAATAATACCAGCTGAATCGAGATGATACAATATTCTATGAGAGTGTATCACTTCTGGCGTAAGTCGTTGACTTTAACATGATTATCAAGTCATAGAGAAGAAAGCAAAGCGTATGGCAGTTGTAGACAACTAACACTAAGAAAAATGGTAGCATGGAAACCCAGCCCAGTAATGTTCTTGCGAACAAGTGCTATTTCAGACTGAGTTGAGCGATTTTTTGGTACTTCGTCCTTTGGCAACGACGACTATCTAAGGCCATGACACGAGGAGCGGTACGAGATATACAGCGACATTGACATGACGGGGAATGTCCACCCCTCCAAGTGTACTACTGACATGAAATAAAGGCTACTCATAAAAAACCATCAGCCTTTCGGAGGTGGCTTAGTACAAGAACCCCAAATTTCTCAGCTCTCTCAGCTCCCACCGAATTATTATTATTCAAAGCTCCTTAGCCTTTTTGGCTAGCTGAAATCCAATCTTTTCAAATCTTTCAAAATTCACCGAAATTCTTTCCAGCATTCGAAGAGCACAGGATGGTAGGATTAAAGTGACCTTTGACACTTGCCTCGAAATTCATTAACCGCGCTATGCGCATATCTTCCAACAAAAGCACATTCATACATGCCTGAAATTTATAAACAACTTCGAGCTCAAGAGTACTGCCTGAGAATTTTATATATGCAAAATGGTGGAGGCAGCCAACGAGATCGCTCTTGCACGAAGCCAAGAAGTTATTCTTCCAGGAAAAAAACGAGCTTGTGAGAACTTTCAATTTCACTAGAATCCTTGCATCTATGGATTATGCTTATTGCTGGCCATAAATAAACTGGATTCATATACATATTTCCAGTTGCATTGATACACTTCAGCTAAACTCTTTGTGTCAAAAACACCCTTTTAAATGCATATTGCCACATGCCACATGCCATAAGCTAACATCATTAACTCATTTAGCACACACTCACACACACACACACACACCAAGCAACAACAACAACATGTTAAAACAGTGCAAAAGACAATTAGTTTCTCTTTATTTGTATGGACCGCATCCACATTCCACATTGACCCCACATCACACATTTCATTAGCCACCTAAATATGTGTGTTTGGACTTACCTTAATATGGCTGCTACTAGTATTTGAGCTGGCATTAATCCATTTCAATTACACTTTATGATTGTCTTGTCGTCTCACTTTTTTCTTTTTTGCCTTTTGAGTGTTCTGCTGCTCCTGCTGCGGCTGACGGCCTTCGATGATTGCTTCTCCGGTGTGTGTGTGTGTGGGTATGTATGCAATTACTATCTGCGCCAGGTATCAGTGTTTAGCCCCTACAAACCTCTGGATATGCTACTCATCTGCGGCGTTGTCAACCCTCCACCTCGTTGTCGCGCTTGGTCTTCGCTTAGCTGCCCCTCAGTGGGTCGCTCGATTTTCCTGTATTTGGCATTAAATTCTAATTAAACTTCCTGTCATTTCTGCGCATGTTTTATTGGTGTTGTCAAGTTTTTTCCGAACTCCTCTTTTTCTTCATCGTTTTGCCTTTTAACGCCACACAAGCTTGGCGCTGCTAAGCCACTTTTCCAATACACTTTTCATCGCTGTCACTGCGTTGCAGACATGCGGGCAAACATATTCATAGAAAATTGTTTGTGTATATATGTAACGTTCTTCTGTTTATTTATTTAATTTTTTTCTTTTTCATTTTATTTTATTTTATTTTATTTTTTTGTTGCTTCAACACATAAGTCTTTAATATAAAATTTGTCGCTCGCTTAATTGATGCTCTTCGGTCGCGTTTACACATTTTTACAAGCACTGGAACATTTGTATTTAAGTGACTTTTAATCTCACACACATACGCACATACTGAAATGTACGTTTATTTACCCATAAATATGTACGAGTATTTATTCATAAGCATACAAACGCAATTGTCTGCTTCGGTCACAAATGTCCACTGCTCCGCAAACTATTCAATCACTCAAGTTGTGAGAGAAAAGTCGTTTGCGACGCGAGGAATGCCGTTTGTTACCACTCTTTACACGTACTTATTAACCGAGTAGATCCGAGTGCGCATAACTAAGCTTGTGGATGAGGGTGGTGCAATAAGTACTGGAAAGTAAATAACCAAGCTTAAGAAGGCGGCAACATTAGACCGTTGTGCGCTAACATAAAGAGGGTGATGGGTTAGAGTGCTGTCCAGACCAAATTCTATGAATTTGACTGTGTTCGCCCTTCGGTAGGGGCTGTCAAGTCCTTCGAGTGTAATTCTGATACGCGACTCACGTTTTGCACCAAATATCTATGTAAGGTAATAAAGAGCTTATAGAGGTCAAAACTAAAGTCAACCGCACAGGAACTGATTACACCTAATCAGCAGTCCTTCAGTCTTGGTAATGCCACCATGGTCTTTTGCCAAGGGCAAAATTTTGGAAAAGATCCATGAGAAAAATATCGACACAAACCCCACCTCTTCGTCTAAATTTCAAGTGTCTGCCATGACACAACAAAATAGCTACCTCGTCGTCGCTCGGTATTCCCACAAAACTTGTGTGGGAGAGCAAGTCGAAATACAATATATACTGTTATCAAACAGGCAGTCTACGCACCCGCGTATTGGCCTCCACCTCACTATTGACAGTCATAATTTCGAACTTTCAACCAACTAAAACCCAGCATCTAAAGCCAAATCAGATTTATAGTTCTCTGCGCGTTGGACCGATGAGCTGTACGAGGTATACGACAAAATGCGTGTTGATGTTTTTTATGCCAGAAAAGCACTTGGAGGGCTACATATTCTCTCGCGAAGAGCGCACCCATCTAGAAAAATATTCTTTTTTCTGGCATGAAATAAAGATTCCTCTTTGAAAACAATCAGCCGTTAGGAGGCGGTTTAAACTGTAGGTCCCTCCATTCGTTGGGAAAACATCAAAACGGAAAACCACAAATTGGGGAAGGAGCTCGGCCGAAAATCGCTTCAGCAGTTCCAAGCTATAAGAAATAAGTTTCTATACAAGATTAGTTTCAACAGTTCATAGAACGATAGAGCTAAAAGTAGGCTAGGAACATGTACCTCTTCTTCCCATGAATTTGCCACGGCAGGACTCTTTCATAGTTCGGCGCTGATTGGCGACATCTCAAGAATCTAGGCCCGTAGCTGCTGTCTCTTAACTTGCCAAACTAAATATATTAATATTGTGATATACCTAGCACAGTTCATCGTTCCTGCTATATTAACTAGTGTTTGAAGCATTTTCTCATTTTGCTGTCCAGAATCATTCGCACTCACTTGGTGTGATCTTTGATAGAGAGTTCCGCCTGAGGATTTTGCATCTTCTTGTGAACAGCACCGCATCTGTTTTGAAAGTAATTAACTCTAAGTTAACTGATTTACTGCCCAACAATGTAGGTCTCTGGCCCTCTACGCGCTAGCCCGAGCGGTCTGGCTTTGTTCTACGCCGCATTAATCTTCTTGCAGTTCATAGTATGGCGACACACCCTACCGGTTCTGCGTCCAGACTTTCCTTTGAGGAGATAAACTAAATCCCGGTTTACCCGATATTACATATGATATGGTTGATAATAAGACCAGCTCATACATTTAAGGAGCCTTAACTTTAAGAATGTCCTTTTTTCAATGGATTTCGAACATAATTGACGGACCGTCACACGGCTCTGTCACATCATATTGACGATTTATTGCATATACTCCTGTCGTCCGAGTGGATGAAAGCACTTCAGAGTGTATCGATGCAGTTCCCGCTGGCGTAAGCAGGGGAATAAAGATACTACCACTCCGTTGGAAGCATCAGGTGGAGAGCGACCGGATTTCACTTGGTATCTCCAACTAGGCTCACGGGTATTTATTTACTAACTTACTTACTTAACTTATTGGAAAATGGGAAATGCTGCAAAGCCATAACTTTGCTCCAACAGATGTAAATTTCTTTTCCGCGCACACTTCCGGGCGACCAATCAGACATCTGGTAGAAGTCTCGGCTACAAACAAGTTGAGGTTAGAACCTTGACTAGAAAACTTTAGTTAATGAATGTAACCTAGAAGAGCGTAAAACAAAATATACGCTCATGCTTGCGAGTACGTAAAAATTACGTTATTCACATAAACCACGATATTATAACTTCGAAAATAGAAATCAATGCGGAAGAATTAGCAAATCTCAAAACCAGTAGGAAAACTAGTTTGTACACAACGCCAGATGACACCCGTGACAGCTGAAGAGCCGGCCTTGAGGAAAGTGCAACAAGCGAAATTTTAATTGAAATGAACAAAAATTATCAATAATAATAAATAATTGAAAATTGTTTTTTCTAATATTTTTTTTTTAATTTTTTTTTTCATAAATTCTTCTTAATAGAACTCTAAGTTAAAAACTTAAATAATTTAGTGAAACAGCGTTGCATTCATGTGTACCACTTGCAGTGCTGCCACATAGTCCCAGTACATCACAAGAGAGAGTGAGAGCGCGCGCACCTTCGCACACAGAGCTGCCAGCTCACCCACAAACCAGCAGACAATTGGCCAACACGGCTGTTTACATTTTATTGGTGTTTGATACGTGAATGCGAACGGACGGGGAAAGTTTTCGCTCGGATCGTGCGCAGTGCAGTTTTTTTGTTATTATTGCCAGGCAAAAGGCAATGTGTGTGCGGTTTTTTTGGTATGCGTGCAAAGAAAAGTGTTTGTGTTTCGTATATTGGTGAGGAACAAAAAAAAATGGTAAAATAAAAACGAAAATGTTTAAATTGCCGACGGAAACAAAAACAATTTCCTAAGGTAATGGAAACAAAAATGGTAATAATTTTTACTGTAATTGTGTTTGTACGTGATGTGAATTCTTAATGAGGAAATGCTACTCCAAGTTGCAAAGGCAAGAGGCAGCAAAGTCAAAAATAAAAATAAAAAAAAAATTCAGTTGAAAACAACAACAACAACAACAACAGCAGCTACAAAGGGCATTGCTCAGAATTTCTTTGTTGTTTAGCGCAATATTCTTTTTTTTCTCGTTTTCGGTGGAGTGTGTGCGTTTACGTGCGTCTGTATGTACATGTGTATGTACATCTGTGATTGCGGGAGTGCAGTCGCCGTCTGCACGTAAATACAAACATATGTACACACAAAAATATATACATATGTGAATTTGTGTATCTGCGACAGTGACAGTCACAGCAGCAGCAGCAGCAGCAACAAGCAAATTTTAGTGGCACGAAAGCAAAGTGTAAACAAAACAAAAAAAAATACAAATCGTTACATACATAAATACAAGCTTACATACTCGTATGTTAATAACAGCATAGCTATTAAAGTGAAAATTATGTAGAAATTAACTGTGCAAATAAATTGCATACATATGTGTATGTATGTATGTATGCGGCTATCGCTGTGCATATATGACTGACAGCATTTAATGTTTTCAGTGATGTTTTTGTTGTTCCATAGGTACGCAAACGCCCACTGAAGCAAGCGTATGAAAAGCAGTGAAAATAAAAACAAATTAACTAAAATTAAATTGTGACTAAAATAATTTTAAATAATTTAATATCAACTCCTTTCAAAGTAAAAACAAAATAAATGCATACAAACATCATATGTACATATGCAAAAATACAAAATTGGTCATTTAGCTCAGCTGAAATTCAAATTAGAAGTCAATTTAAAATTTCAAAAATATTTAGGTTTGGATTTAATCCTTTTCCGATTACTAGATACGGGATACTGCTTCAGATCAAGCGTAGATGAAGTTCTAAATATGTATATGCCTGAAAGGCCCTGAAAAAATAAATTTTGTTTATTAACAATTTATTACAAGTACAAAAATGCTCATATCTATTATCAAATTTACAAATTTTTTTCTTCAATTAATATTTTTGTTGGTCTATTTTTAAATCATGACCAAAAACCAATGATTTAAAATTTCACCGTACCTACTCATTTTTTTATTTAACTAACTAATATTTACTTTTTTCTTTTTCATTTGCCCACTTCGTTTTTTCATAATTTAACTGTGTTTTTTGTTTTTTTATTTTTACACATAGTATATATTATCTCTTCTCTACTCATTCCACATTTTTCGCCTTCAACTAAACTTTATTTTCTGTCTCTTCTGTCTGTCTGCCTCTACCTCCACCGCATTTTTAGCGACTGGTTTTTTCGCTCATTCGTTGGATTGCTTATTGGCTTATTGTTCATTCGTTGTTGTTCATTGTTAATTTTTAGCCAGTCTTTTATACGTGTATATTTATGATTGTTATTGTTTTTGTTAATCGCGCCAATGTCTACGTTTGTCGTTGCTGTTGGCGACTTCATTTTCGCCTTAATATGAAATTCAAAAAATGTGAAACTTAAAAGTTGTGCAGAATCGAATGAAAGGTGAAAATGAAAGAAAGTGTTTTTTTTTATTATCATAATTTTTGATTTTCGGCGAATTGTGTGGTCTGAGCTGTTAGTAATTTTGAACAAAAAAAATATATACATAAATATTTATATACGAATTATCCATTTTGCGGTTTCAAAAATAAACGTAAAAAAATGCATTTAAAATAATTATTTTCCTGAAATTCCTTATTTATTACAAAAAAAAAAAATTGGAACCTTGACATCATTCCAAAAACCGCATTCATCGGCTTGTGGCAAGTTTCGAACAGTTTTTGGCAAATGTATTTTGGCCGGCATCCCAGCAAATTTCAGTTTTCCTATGTTCAAGAGTTAAAGATTTAATCGCATAAAAACGCTCTTTCCCCCGTTGCTCCTCAGAAAATTGTTAAACGCTCGATCTCCGATTGGCATCGCGAAGACGAGAGATTCAGGCATTTTCACTCGGCTTGTGTGGCATGTGGCACCAACTTGTTGAAGCCGCATATTTTTTAAGTGGTGTTCTTTAATTAAAGACCAAAAACGTCGGTTATCATAGGACCAGAACGCTCGGAGTTCACAGTGAGAGTATCGCTGTTGTCGTTTTAAAAGAAGTAAGCTCCCAATCACACTTCTGTACCAAAGAGCCCACCAGATAGTAAATGTGCTTTTGGATATAATAACCTCTTTTCAATTATTTTCGGATTCTCGAACTCCAAATGGGACCATTTGGCTTATTTATTTTTAACCCGAGTGAGAAGTGCTTGAACAGTTGGACGAGTATTTCATAAATGTCCGACTTTTAACTAAAACAAAACATATTTGGCTTAATCGTTATGTTTGGCAAATATCAAAATACACTACTGTACTTTTTAAACCACGAAATGGACAACCCTATATTTATGAATTCCCAAAATCACTAACATCGCAATTTTTTCTTTGATCATTTAAACGTTGTTGTAATTTTCAATTCGTATTATTCGGAACAACTGAGACTTTTGTATTTATAAGACTTCTCACTTCTCCAATCAGCTTCTGGTGTACTCTAATAGCTCTATTATATATATATTATTTATTGATAAATACTATTCCTTCCTTCTTTCTCTTCTTAATCTTTCGTTGTTCCTGTTTTTAATGTTTCGAAAAGAGGTTTCAGTAAAATGTCTGAGATCAGTGCCAAAATCTTCAGTAGAACAAGCATCTTTTAGCTTTTCTCTGAAAAACGGATTAGTTGGCTTTGGGAATGATTGTTGTGATCTGTTGATTAACTTTCAGTGTTTTCTAATCCTATTAGAAGGCGATTTTACATAAAGATAAATTACAGTTAAGGAAAGTTTTGTAAAAATGTTATTACAGCAGTGGGACCGACTCCGCATTCAGAGGTCCGAATACCCCACACAAGAGAGACTAGAGACCTAGTTTGGTAGGTAGGTACAGCATCTTTGTTGTTATAACTGCAAAAAAAAATTACCTTAATCAATATCCCGAAATCTTGAGAGTGTGAAAGTCTTTAGGTGATTGGAGTTGTTCCATTAAAATCTCTCGTTTGTCGGCTTTTACGGGAGGCATGTTAAAACACCGAAGTCATGTCGCCCGATGAAAGCACTCCAGCTTTGAAAGCTTGCTATGCAGTACCCGCTGTTGGAAGCAGAGGAAGAGGAAGATATCCACTCCATTAGAAGGATCAGTTTGAGAGTGACCTGGTTTCACTTGGTATTTCCAACTGTTGTCAAACAGCGAAAGGAATCGCTGAATGTGGCGTCAAGCTTGATTCGGCTATAATGGGATAAGCGGTGCCAATGCCAATAAAGAAGAAGAAGACGTCAAAAGCACGTTTAACTTATTAAAACTCTTCCTTCCTTGGGCTCGGATTGATTATTTAGACAATGTCGACCACGTGTATGTTTACGACAACACAACACCATTTGTGTTTGCGTCTAACCACTGTCTATGAAGAAAGAATCATAATTCTCACGTTATCCAAGGCAGCTCTATCCCAAGAGTTTGACTGCTTTGGAAATAATTTCTACAGCATTCCATCAGATACTGCTTCAGATCAAGCTAGCATACAAGGAGGCATTCTAAAGTAGTTACAATAACTCTTCAGTAGCTTTCCCAGCAGGGATTAACTAGTTACCGACGGTTATATCGTGTTTGTTTATGGTTGGCCTTCACGACTCTCCAAAGGCAGTAACACTTTTGGCCGAACCGTGAGTCATGTTAAGTGCGTGAAAGCACATTTTTATGGTGTGAAAACAATTGGTAATTGTCTAGCTTTTTCAGAGTTCCTTAATGGCGGGAACTCAATTAAACAAGGAATGATTGGAATACTCGAGAAAATGGCAAGATTTAGACATCACAGAACTCAAAAATCTTTCCTGATCCCGAAAAGAAAAGAAATAACCAGGAAGCTCAAATTTGCACTGTGAAGGGATGTAAAAAAAGGAATAAGGATTTTATGAGGAATAAACCCCCGTTGTTATTGTTGCTGGTAATCCTGCTTAGAAGCAGGCAAAGTTCATCGAGGTCATCTAACGAGAGCCCCAAGAAACGAGCTATTAAATTTCTATGGTTCGAATCAGAGAGAGAGTGGTTCCAGATAAATAAACCCATCAACCCATTAGTTGGCATGTAGAGAGAAGATTAGTGTCGTGCGAAGACCATGCAGAGCATAAATAAACTAGGTCAGGGTCGAATTGGATAAGTAAAACTATAGTCTTATACAGTATCCAGACATTAACTGTGCAGATTATTGAATTTGAACATTAACGACTGTAGCATTTATGAAATGACCGAGGAGATAGCAACTTAGCTTCAGACGTCCTGATGGTGAAGGAATTTTAATCCTCACTCTTATCCTACTTCACTAAATTTATTTATTTGAATGCTTGAAATTTTACTTTTTCACTAACAAAAAAATATATTTTATAATTTAAAATATGACAAAAAAAATTAAAACAAAAATATAACAGCACATTCAAATCAAAAATTAAAAAAAAAAATAAAATAAAATTCAGTTCAGCTTAACTCAATTCGAACTTGCTGTGTAAGTCCACGCGCACTCAGATTTAAATAATTTTTGATTGCCAACTTCAACTTTTTGCTCAATACATTGACAGTTGGTGGTGCTGCGATTCACTCTTGTAGTTATTATTAATATTTTCTGTTTTTTTTTTTTGTTCTTTTTTTTGTTTTAATTTGCTTAAAATACAAAATCTTGCCCCAAATTCAATACTGTTAAAACGCAGCGACCAACAGGCCAACTGGCAAGAAGGCAGCCGCACACACAGGCGCGGCAGCTAGCGGCAAAGGCAAGCAGGCGGGCAAACACGTTTTGCCAGATACTTCAAAATCAAAACCACTTCTCACCGGTATGTAGGTAGTCAAACAATAACAACAATAAACTGCGATACAGCTCAAAGTAAGATTCGACTTCAAAATAT